TTAAACCCCCCCCCTCCCCTCCTGGAGTCAGGCCACATCTGTATGATGAAACTCTGCAAGAGAAGGAAAGGGGTTTAAAGTTTAAATGCCTCCCCTTTAGGACGGATAAGAGGAAGTACTTCTTCACCCAAAGAGTGATTAACACTTGGAATTCACTGCCACAGGAAGTGGTGGTGGCTACAAGCATGGACGGCTTCAAAAGGGAATTAGATAAGCATATGGAGCAGAGGTCCATCAGTGGCTATTAGCCACAAGGTATAGATAGGGACTCTGGGGCAAGTGATTCTCTGTCATCTTGGTGCTTGGGGGGGGGTCAACAGTGGGAGGTCTTCTAATGTCCTGGCCCCACTGGTGGACCTCCTGATGGCACTGGTATTTCTGGCCACTGTGTGACACAGAGTGTTGGACTGGATGGGCCTTTGGCCTGATCCAACACTGGCATCTCTTATGTTCTTATGTTCTCTCTCCCAAGCACCAAGAATACAGAGCATCACTTGACCCAGACTGAGAGTTCCTATCTATACCCAGTGGCTAATAGCAGTTTCATTGAGTGCCCACAAGGAGTTCTTGTCTTGTGAGAAAGAAGAGAAAAGTACTTCTTTCTCTACCTGCTCTATCCCATGCATCATCTTGTAAACCTCAATCATGTCACCCCTCGGCCGTCGTCTCTCCAAGCTTAAGAGCCCTAAGCGCTTTAACCTTTCCTCATAGGGAAAGTGTTCCAACCCTTTTATCATCCGAGTTGCCCTTTTCTGCACGGTTGCAATGCTATAATATCCTTTTTGTGGTGTGGTGACCAGAATTGCGCACAGTATTCCAAACGAGACCACACCATTGATTTCTCATACCCACACACAGTAATGGGGAATACTGTGCTACGAATTACCAGGATCTTGGTCGCCGGTGACCCATCCTGACACTTGAGGTTCTTTTCTAGCCCCTTCATGGCTGCCCTCCCCGGTCTCCATCTCCTCCTGATTTCTTGGGCGGGTGAGCTGCTGCGCGGGTCTGGCTCGGGGGTGGTCCGGGCAGCACGGAGGGGCGGCCCCGCAGAGCCTGGAGCGCAGATGAGAGAGCCGGAGGGAGCGAACGAGAGATGAGCCGGGCAGCCTGCGCCGGCAGCAGCAGCAGCAGCAAACCCCTGGGCGGGCAGAGACGCAGATCTCCAGGGCGCGCGGGGGGGGGGGGGGGGTGGGAGAC